AGGATTTATTATGTTGCATGTGTTTATACACAGAGACGTAGATGTTTCATGAATGTTCATGAACATTCTCAAATTTAAAAAACCTTGATAAACCAATGACATCCTCTCCTGTGTGTCTATATAGACATGTGCCTCATAATAAATCCTACATTACTTTGATAAAGTCCCTCAGAGGATGAAATTTGTTGACTAATAGTTTTTCCTTGTCTTTTTTTGTTCACTCACACAGTTGGATAAATGGCCATATATATAAATATATATATATATATATATATATATATATATATATATATATATATATATATAAATATATAAAATGTACACATACACACAGAGAGGGTATATTTATAGCATATAAAGATTTCTCCTTACAGAAGCCATTCTTTTTATCCAAATCAATAAAGAGCACATCTCTTTTTAGATTAGTAATAGAAAAGAAAACTTAATCTATTTTGTATCAGTGTTCAAATTGGTTTAAAATCTATTTGTCTGAATTTACGCATATCAATTAAAACCCCCCTATCTTGGAAGGAGAAATGAGTTATATGATATGAGAGAGAGAGAGAGAGAGGAGGAGAGAGTTTTATTTATTTCTTCTTTTTTTTTTTTTTTAAATAAATCTATTTACTCACTTCGTCATTGTCTCTCTCCCCCACATCCTGTGGTACCATAAAGAAAAAAAAAAGTTCTATGGAAGACTAAATTTTTTTTTTTTTTTTTTCCAATATGCTTATTTAGTATCAATATATAAATTTGTGCATTGCATTCAGTGAAATGATAATTCAAAGCACGGACAGAATCAAAGACAGTAGCAAGAATATTTTGTTGGTGAACATTGGTCAATCTGATAATCCGCTTGTAGGTGTCATTCTTAAATGTTATTTTAATCCAACTGGCTCCACCCAAGACAGGGATCTTCTTCAAACTGTTACTTCAATTACAAAAAAAAAAAAAAAAAAAAAAAAAAGTTGCGTGCAAAAATCAACACCAACAGCAAATAAATTGTTTTTGGTTTTAATCACCATTTTAGAAATAGGATATCTAGTTGCAAAACAACTATTTTTAAAATTTTTTCTGTTAGATTTTTTTCATCACATTTTGGGAAGCTGCAAAAATCAGTAGCAAAAATTGTAGAAAATTAATTTCTACTGCTGTTAGATTTCTTTTAAAATTTATTTGGTGGGTTATTAAAAAAAAAAAAAAAAAAAAAATTTTTTTTTTTTTTTTTAGCTGTCGTAATATTGAAGATGACACTATGAGCCATAAAAACTCAATGAAATACATTAAACTTTGCATTACCGTTGATGTACACACATAAAAATGAACCCCAAAACAATAGTTTTAACTGTAATTCAGCTCTGTTGGAAGATATATAAAATAAGTATGGTCCATTGACTGGAAAGTGACACAAGAAAATAAAAAGATGAAATGCAAGCAGATGTTATCTAGAAGCAAAACCGGTTAAATAATTAAGAGAGAAATAACACAAAGAAAATAATAATTATAATCAGAAAGTCATATTTTATAGCTAGATAGTGAAATTAAGAAAAACAGGTCTATAAATAAGAAACTACTTTTAATGCACACAACATCACATGCAGATCCATTTGAAAACTTTGCTATCATTTTATAAACTATGTATATTTTTTCCTCCACAATATTTAAAATTTGATTTTTGCATTTTATTTAACAAATCAAATTGACTTAAAAAAAAATTCAGATAGATCTTTATACTTTTTCCAGTTTCCTTGTGATTTTACAAGAGAGAGGAAGAACATTAAGAAAAAAAATTAAAAAGGAGATGTTAATTGTTAAGAATTAAAAGGTCGTTAAAAATTTTAAATCTTTTTTTTTTTTTTTTTTTTTTTTAAAAAAAAAAAAAAAAAAATCACTTAGCCAAAAGATAAGATCTTTTTCAAGAAATATTTGTTGAGAAATTTTATTTCTTCAAAATTCACCTGGAATGCAAAGTGAGTCACTTCACTTCAACAGGGACTTCAAAGTGTGTAGGTTGCACCCTCCGACAATTACACTCTTATTTTTTACTTCCGCAACACAAAAATACCAGTGTCAGAAATAAAGATAAAGATAAAGATAAATAAAAAAAAAAAGAAAAAAAACAGAAAAGAAATGCCAGAAACAAAATAAAAAGCACGATACACCAACAAAATAATGGGGTGGGGGTGGGAAGCGTTATATATTACATATATACATAAATTCAAACATAGCCCACACATGCATAAAATATATAAGTACGTAATGATTTCATCATTGTTTTATGTGTGTGCTTCTTGATACACAGGTATAGACGACAATCTCATCCCCTACCCAAAACATTTTTTGTTGATTATTGTTTTTAATGTTCAGTTTTGACAAGTTAAAAATTATAGCTGACAATTTTCATGTGTTTTAGTGAGAAATTGTAATTTCAATAAAAAGAAAGAAAGAAACCTGTAAAAAACTAAAGAAAAAAAAAAAAAGAAGCAAAATTACATAATAGCCAACTAGTGATTAACTTCTATGTGCATGTGGCAAAGACAGAATGAAACGGAAAAAAATTCATTAGAATTAATATTTTCTGCTTTTGTTTTTAGAGACAGGTCATAGCTGCCAACCAGGGTGTGTGTGTGTGTGTGTATATATATATATATATATATATATATATATATATATATCTCTGTGGCTATTGATATATTTCTATATACATAGGCACACAGATATCTGTATGGACAAATAGCAGTGGGATAAAAAAAAAAAAAAAAAAAAACTGGTTTGCTTGTATTTTTATTTATTTTTTTTTTTTTAATTACATGTAAGACAATGTCTTACTATTTTTTTTATTTGCATTAATTTATAAAGGAGGACATTTTTCTCCTTTAACCAGGCTTTCCTTTTAATGAAGTTTTTTTAATTTTATTTTGTTATTGTTTTAATAGAACTACTTAAATAATGACCGATCACAGGACAGCATGTAGTAGTAGTAGTAGTAGTTATAATAGAAATAATAATAAAATTACAGATTTTGTTCACTTTTAGCAGGTCTGAAAAACAAAAGCTCATATCTCTGTAGCAGGGCCATCTTGAGTTTTTAGATGACTAGCAGACAGCGTAATTTTTTTTTTTTTTTTTTTAAAAGGGTTGGTGATTTTTTTCAATAAAGAAAGAAACATAACGAAGAAAGAGTACAAGAGAGAGAGAGAGAGAGAAAAAGTTTATATACACAAGCATTTTCAGTTTATCACTTAGTGTTTATTTTTTGTGAGTTTTTTTTTTAAAAAAGTTATTGATTGACCAAGGACATACTTTCACATTTCGTAATAATAATTATATAAGTAATAATAATAATAATAATAATTATAATAATTGCATACAGTAACATATTAGTCAGAGATAATGACTTATAAATGGATAATTTGTCAACAGTTTCTTCTTGGTTATCGAATCTATTTGATTACAGAAAATACAAAAATTAATAATAATAATAATAAACAAAAAAAAAAAAAGGTCCCCCTTCAAAAGCAAAGTTCATTTGTTTTTCTCTCAGCAAGGAGTGACATTTATTGCCACCAAAAAAGCAGCATTGTTAACTCTCACCATTTTATATATATATATATATATATATATATATATATATATACACACACACACACATACATACGCACACTCAATCAAGAAAAAAAAAAAAAAAGAAAGTGGAGACAATAGCGCAGCCTCCTTTTTTGATAAAGAGATGGCACCCGATTGCTGACAAAAGTATTATTTTATTATTTTCTTTTAAGTAGACACACACACACATACACATATATATATATATATATATATATATATATATATTATCTTTTAAGTATTGTTAACTGTCCACATAGTGTTTCTCTTTCCAAAAATCTGACGGTTAGAAGTTTTTTTTTGCCTAATATTATCAGTAATTAACATGTCGAAATTTAATTTACAAAATTTGTTAATAATTATTTGAAACCTGCCAGGACTATTCGCTCGGGGAAAAAAAAAAAAAAAAAAAAAAAAATTTGATTTTCAATAAATTTAGCACTGGCTTGATATTTAGTTTGACTAATGACTTAATTTTTACTAAACAAGTATTAATATTAATACCAATATTAATTGGTAGTAAGGTTTTAAAAGATGGTAGGTCATTCTACAGAATTCTTTAAATCAGAAAAAAATTTGAACCACTCATTTATGCCTTAAAAGAAACTTTCAGAAAACTCGTTAATTCAAGTAAAAGAAAAAAAAAAATGGTCCCAAAACCCCAGAAGATAAGGGGTGGGGGAAGCAATGACATTTTATTATTTTTTTTTTTAGTATAAAAGGGGAAAAATTGCTAAGTTTTTTTTTTTTTTTTTTTTTTCCAAGTAGGGGAGGGGGACCACCTCAAAACTAAAATTGATGTCTAATTTTTTTTAAAATCTTTTTGAATTTGCAGAACAATTCCACAAAGAGAAGCTAAATGTTTTGCATACACATGTTTGAGTAACAAAAGAATATATTTAGAAAAAAAATAATAATAAATAAAAAGAAAATCTTGGTACCGCCTTATGGCAAAAATGTTGAAGCATTGATCAAAAGTCATTTTGAGGAGGAAGAGAAGCTGCCGAATAAAAGCTAACAGCAGTCTGATGGAAAAAGTAAAGAGTATAGTAGTCACTAGATACAATTTGCAGACACACCAGTTGGTTTATTCGTTGTCCAATACATAAGAGAGTCAACCAATCCAGCTGGGTAGAGACAAGAAAGGTAGGTACTGTTAATTAAGATAGGTAGTTAGAAGTTCCTAGTTGTATGTTCCTCATGATCTAGCTGTTTTTATTCTTTAAAGTTTTGGTTTGTCTTTAGTCAGTTTGTCTGGTGAGGGTTTATATTTTATTCAGATTTGCTACCCAGACATGGTAGCATAGTAATGACCTCTGCGCAGCAGAAATGGTCATTCTAATCATTTAGACTCTGGTTCCCTTTTTGTTTTTCCAACCAACAAGTAGTCAGGATTATCGGTTACTAAGTTCTTGACGCAATGCTGAAAATAGAAAGAAAAAATTAAATTTAGTAAAGAGGGAAATTTTTTTTTGTTTATTGAAAGAAAGTATTTAAACAATAAAAAAGGAAAGAAAAAAAAGTTCCTACCCCACTCCAAGAAAAACATGACCACTCCACCATCATATTTAAAGCAAGAAATCATTTCCAGATTTAAGAATTAAAAAAAAAAAAAAAAAAAAAAAAAAGAAAGAGAGAGAAGAGAGAAAAGAGAGAGAGAAAAAGAGAGAAAGAGAAAAAGAGAGAGAAAAAGAGAGAGAGAGAGAGAATGATTTAGTGATACAAGTCTTACTAATTAACTTATAGCTGGGGGGGGGAGAAAGAAGAGATGGATTCATACCTTTCCCCAAAGGGTATTTGTGCATAAGTGAATATAATGAACCTGACTGGAATTGGAACACCACTCTCTGATTAACAATTCTGAACCATTATCTATTACACCACCCGCACGTCCAAGCTTACAGTACCTGGTATTCCCAAGTGGTCACCCATCTAGGTACTAAACCAGGCTTCAGAACCATCTGGATTACAGTCATATCACATTGAAGCACTGGTTCTCATATGAAGTTAAGCAATATCAAACCTGGCCAGTACCTACATGGGTGACTGCTTGTGAATACTAGGCATTGTAAGCTTGGATGTGCAGGCAGTGTAATGGATAATGGCTCAAAACTGGTAATTGGAGAACAGAGTTCCAATTTCAGTTCAGTTCATTATATTCACCTACACGCAAATATCCTTGGGAAAGGTATGAATCCTCCCTTTTTCTCCCCCCCCCAGATATGGTTTAATTAGTAGGACTTGTATCGGCAAAATCATTAATATCTCAAAAAGAATTCTTACAATTTAAAAGTATTTTCTGGTTTTAAATAACCCGCAAAAAGTTGATAATCCATAAAATTAAAAAAAAAAAAAAAAAAGCAATCAATCCCAAAGTATCTAATATTCTTACCCATTCTAAGTGCCATGCACAGATTACACAAAGTAGGTACTGAAAAGTTCTCAGTCTAAACAAGAGAGAAAAAAAAATATGCCTTTCGTTTGGTCAGTTTTTAGTGAAGTGTGTTGTGCAAGAACTTTGCAGTATGTGCATGTGTCTATTGGCAGACAGTCATGCACATGGGTCTTTACAAGTGCAAAAATGTAATCATCATTGTTTGAGTTCTGGAATTGCCCAGCATAAGATTTTTTTTTTTACCTTCAAATGTGTAAATTACTCTTTTTGAGTAGGTACACATCTATTTATCAGCTCTCAGTTGCGTCTCTGTCCTTGGATAGAGTGCGCTCAGGGGCGACTCTGTCAAAGGACAGAGTCGCAATTGATAAAATTTGTATTGAAGAGGTACCCAGCCCTGGGGAACAGCTGCCCGAGGCCACGCTCTCCCATTGTAGAGGGATGGATTGGTGCTTGCACCGAGGCCAGCACAACCAACGGTTGCGGGGGCTCAGGGAATTTTTTTTCCTTGCCCAGGTGCATGCGCTCAGGCTCCTCATATTAAACCGACCTTGTGTCACAACCTGACCTCATGGGGGTTGAGTAATTATTAGAAACTTTAATGGAAAAGAGTGGGCTCATTCTTAATTAGCAGGTGAGACAGAGTAGCTCAAGAATATTTGTTAGTCTAAGGTGAAGTATTCAATCTATTTTGGTGGGGGTGGGGATATTAGCATTAACAATCCATATAAGAGTCACCTGAAAGGTGAATAGTTCTACCTGAAAGGTAGAAGAGTATAATTAACGCCTCTTCCCCTTTTTTCTTTCATGTAGACAATAGTGGTGGCTTATCAGTTTCATCAATATATTTTCTTTTTATGGAAGAGAGATTTTGAGCTCACGTACATGATCCAGAATCTTGTTAGGAGACGACTTTTAGTAAGGCCATCTGCAACTTGGCTTGAGCTGGAAATCCATACAAGTTTATGTATAACCCTTTGTTCCAACATTTTGCAATAATTGTAGTTTTGATTCCGAGCCTCTTATTAGATGAGTGAGCAGAATAATTTTGGGCTATATTGTCCGTTTTATGTATTACTACAAGAATTTCTGGCTAGTTTTCAATATACAGGGTGTACCTAAAGTTTGGACAATATATATATATATATATATATATATATATATATATATATATATATATATATATTTACTTTAGATTAAACAGGGTTTGTTGAAAGAAAGAAAAAATTGAACTGGTAATTTTCAGTGGACATGAAGGATGGAAATCATATCAAAAGATGAATTTAATGCACATCATCTCTGGAGAGTTTCACTTGGTGTTTCTATCTCTCTAATTTTATGGACACCCTGTATAGAAGTTTTAGAAAGTAAAAAATGCATGTTCTCATAGTATCTTTGCCTGTATACCTTTCATTGCTTTTTTCATCTTATTCATTGAGAGATAGAAAACAAAAGAAAAAAAGGAAAAAAAAAGGAAAAAAAAAAGAAAAAGGAAATAAAAAAAGAAAAAGGAAATAAAAAAAAAAAAAAAAAAAAAAAAAAAAAAAAAAAAAGGAAAAAAAAAAGGAAAAAAAAAAGGAAAAAGGAAAAAAAAAAAAGGAAAAAAAAAAAAAAGGAAAAAAAAAAAAAAAAAAAAGAAAAAGAAAAAGGAAAAAAAAAAGGAAAAGGAAAAAAAAGAAAAAGGAAAAAGAATTTACCTTCAATTATATCAGTTTTCACTTTCTGAAGTTCTCTTCTCATTTCTGCAAGAATTTCCTGTTTCAGCAATTCAAAATCACCGGAAATGTTGCTGCCTCCATTTGGCACGGCTACAGTTTCTTGACCAGTCAATGAAAGTTTTTGCCTACAGAAAAAAAAAAACATGTACACATAATTATTGGCAGCAGACATAGAAGTTCATACTGAAATGAATATATGAATTAACAGATAGACACATTTTGAACAAAATGGTCTGGATAGAGAGTTTCTAAAGTACTAGTTTGTCAGAAAAATTTGTTAGTACCCCCCAAATGTTATTTGGCTTACAGTCAAGTCTGGTCAGCACCTATATGGGTGACCGTTTGGGAATACCAGGTGCTGCAAGTGCAAGTTTGGATGCACGGATGATGCAATGGATAATGGCTCACAAGACATGTATCACTAAATCAATATTATATCCAAAATATTCTTATAATCTAGAAAAAAAAAATTTTTTCTGGCTTTAAATAACTCACAAAAGCTTAATAAGTCGTAAAAGTAAAAACAAATCACACAAATAAGATTATTTCAACGGAAATTAAACGGCGATAATCTTAAAAATACTGGGCTTATGGACACATCATTTTGAAACACTAATTCCCATATAATCACCGAAGTTACATAATGTTGAGCTTGGTCAGTGCCTAGATGAGTGACAGCTTGGGAATATCAGAATATGTGGGTGGTATAATGAGTAATGGCTTGAAATTGTTAATTGGAGAGCTGAGTTCAAATTCCATTTGGATTTGTTATATTTGCTTATGTGCAAATACCCCTGGGAAAGGTATGATTCCACCTCTTACCCCCACCTATTATTAAAACTTGTTATTATCACCCTTTCCAAATTCTTATAATCTAAAAAATATTTCTGGCTTTAAATAAACTTGCAAAGGGTTGATAAATATTGAAACAATCAACTAATGTTATTTGAATTAGCATGCAAAATATTTTTAGCATAGAGCTTTGTTTTTGTTTTTTTTTTGTGGCTCTATTCTCCAATGTTTATCATTTTTGAAATTTGATTGAATTTTACTACTTTTTCAGATTTATGACAATTGGAGGGCCAAGTTGGCAAAAAAAAAAAAAAAAAAAAAAAAAAAAAAAAAAAAAAAGTGATATTTCAGACACCTGCTTAATCTTGGCTTAAGACATTTGTGCTGTTACAGAAAGAACTGCACCAAAATAGATTTCATGCTTCAAGAAGGAGATCTTTGATCTCGTGGACTCTTCACATACTGGCCAACCTATTCAGTTTAGTGAGGATCAACTGAACGAGTTCTATGAGGATCCAATCAAAACCACATGCGAATTGGCCCAGTAGATTACATGCTCTCATGATACAGTTACCCATCAACTTCAGTCATTTTGTTAAAATTCTTGGTAAATAGTAAGACTAAAATAAATGGAAAAAAAAAAGCGCAAACAAATTTATCAGACAACCCAATAAGAGTAAATTTAAATTGTTTACACTATTTATATTTGGACTATTGTCTTCATCTTTTTTGTTAACATCACAACAGCCTTCCTCAGGTGTATATTGCTCTGGGTAACCTACACAATATCCCTAGACATGAGCAGTGAAACAAGAACAGTCTACTCTCATAGGTTAAATAAAAGATTCATTTCAGAATTCCCTGTAGGTTACCCAGATCAACATACACCTGAGGAAGGCCAGAGGGCACAACAACCGAAACATTGTGATAAGAACAACAAAGATGATAACAATATAAATAGTGTAAATAATGATAACTCCTCATCCCGGAAATTCAGACAGAAAGTAGATTTAAAGTTGTCCAATGAATTATTTGATACTCTCGCCCCTAATATTTAATGTATGAACAGAAGTTAAAAACATTTAAACTGTCACAAAGCAGTTTCTGTTTATTTTTATTGGGTATGTTTTAATGTACATCATTTACTTTGAAGAAAAGAACAAATTCTTTTTAAAAAGTGAGATATGTTTTGAGAAGAAGGTAAGGTGATAATCAATTATGATTAAAAAGATACAAACTCTTTATTTGGAGCAACTCAAAGTTGTAAAATACAAAATCATATTGTTTTGAAGAGGAGAAAGGAGAGAAAGGAAAAAAAGAGAAAAAGAAAAAAGAGAAGAAAGAGAAAAAAGAGAAAAAGAAAAAAAGAAAAAAAAAAAAAAAAAAGAAAAAAAGAAAAGAAAAAAAAAAAAAAAAAAAAAAAAAAAAAAAAAAGAGAAAAGAAAAAAAGAAAAAAAAAAAAGAAAAAAGAAAAAAAAAAAAAAAGAGAAAAAGAAAAGAAAAAAAGAGAAAAAGAAAAGAAAAAGAAAAGAAAAAGAAAAAACTGAATTATGTAAATACAGAAATAATGTGGATATCTTCAAATCTGACCTGTCAAAATTAAAAGAAAAAAGATGTAACTGATAAAAATACTTTGTAGATATTTGATATTTAATTGATAAAGTTTAGGTCATACTATCAATATCTAAATCCTTATTTATTGTAGTTTGAATAATTCAGAATTTGATGCAAACAATACTATATATATATATAAAACTATAATTTTTTTGATCGTTAAGAAAATACAATCTACATGGTATGCATTTGGGAAACACTTTCATCCACACTACCTTAAATCATCTAAGGAAACACTATTTACCAGAAAAACATTCATTTTGACAATAATAAAATAATTTTTTATTTTATAATAATCAAAATCCTGCTGAAAATTTATATTAAAATCTCAATCAAGATCACAGGAGCTAAAGATTCAAACACACTCAATTTTTGAGTAGTTAATGATACTGAAATAACAGTCCATACATTTTATTTAAATGTTTTATAAATATAAGGCTCAAGAGCCCCTCAAAATAGAGAGTTACTGTGAAAAAGGTTATGATGAATAAGATGTGTGATATGAATGAAAGAGAAGATAGGGAATGAAGATTATGAGGGTAAGGATGATAGATAACGATTAACCATTGAAGAGGGTTTAGGTTGTAGTGTTCAGGGAAGCATCCAAATGGGATTTGGTGGTGGGGAGAGACTGAGTGAAATTTATATTTGGAATAGAGAGGAAATGAAAATGATTTGAATCTGTGGAAATAGCCTGGTGTGTCCTAGTAGTAAAGGCCTGAACTGATGGAAATAAAGAATGAAGATCATGTGACCATTTACCATAGAATTCTTGCAATGTTGCGTCCGTGTGAAAGATGTTGCTGGATTGAAAGGCAACAATTTTATTTGACAAGAGCCCCTCAAGGTAGAGAGTTACTCTTAAACTTGTTTTAAACCAGTTACCAAATATATACCATCACTTGAATAAAACTGTGTGAAACTATTGTGACCAAGATTTGTTAAATATTTAAATAATAGTAGAATTCTTATTATAAATGCCACATTAAGTGGAATACATGATGTAATAGATGTTCAAAAAAAAAAAAAAATATTGACATCTACTTGGGTCCAGGCATTCTAGTCTTGATAAAGAAATTCTGCCTTCCAGTAGGGTTTGAAACTGTGTAAAAGCACAATTTCTTCATTAAAACGTTTATATATTGGATCGGATTTCCTACATTTTTCAACCGATTTCAACAAAACTTCACAGGACTACGTAAAATTACCTTGCGGTGGTTCTGACAGCACCAAAAATTGGAAAACACAATTGTTTTTGCATGAAATCAATTTGAAAACACGATTAAGAGGCATTAATGAAAGGGGGACAACTCATATCGTTTATACTTATTATAAAACCCAGGTTGGTTTTGTGTGTGTGTGTGTTCGTTTATGTATGGGATTGGATTTCCTACATTTTTCAACCGATTTCAACAAAACTTCACTTTTTTTTTGGCAGGTAACGTTTCTTATTGTCTTGCACAGTTTTTTCTTCATTTTTACATTCAGAATACTTTAAAAATTCCATTTACAAGACAATTGTTTATAATAAAATTCTATTCAATTGGTAGACTCATAACGATTGAAAACAATGTTCTTGTTTGAGTTTGACCAATTTGTAAAAAAAAAAAAAACAAACAAAAAAAACTAATTAAGACATGCGTGTCCGTCAACCTTAAACAATAATCTTTGTCAATTTATTTTTCAGTCTTTATGATGGTCGATACTTGATCTATCTCTTACTGTTACATCCTCGGGCAACGCCGGGCTCTACTGCTAGTTATTAATAAAATTAATTCCTTATGATAAAAAATTAAAAACAAACCAAAGTTAAAAAAAAAAATATGAAAGTTAAAGTCTGGCTAACAAAAAATGAAAAGATAAAATGTCAGCTAAAAATTTTACAGAGGGGAATAAGATAAAAATTTCTGTTTATATTAATATCCTTGGGAGAATGATATAGATTTTTATATACCAAGAACAATTTCAGGTAAAAAAACTATGATAGTGAGAAAAGTTTTTAGGCAATGCATTTTGTCCTTTATAGGGCTAAATTGATGTTTATGTTGATGTGACTATACATAGGCATTAAGGAAAAGGGAAGAGAAATTTTAAATTTAAATTTATTTATTCTTTTTTTAAATATATTTTGTGTATATAGTCTAGACAATTTAATTTACCTTCTTTTTGTTAATGTTTCCATCAATTTTGTTAATAAGTATCTTTAAACAGACTAATTCTTTTTGTACTATGATAAATTCTAAAGATTATCATTTGCTAATGATTAATGAAATTAAGAATTTTTCAAAGTAATGACTTTTTATTATTTAAAACTTGTAAAAAATATATATCTACAAATAAAACAAAAATGTATACCAAAATGAAAACATAATACAAAGAATACATTAGATTTAAAAAATATTTCTTAAATTTTATTTTAATAAAAATTTTAATGTTGATAAGATTTTAAGTTTTGTTTTTAACATATCTCCAAACATATTCCTGTTTGATGTTAAAAGATGCTTCTCATTTTTTTTTTTTACTGGCTACATGGGTGAGAGAATTTATAGGATGAAGCATTAAATGCAAAACTGATTACAAAAGTTTAGCTTTCTTACTCAGTCACTTCTTGCATCTTAGTGGCTTTATTGCTTTGCTTTGGGTGAAATGATTTAAAAAAAAAAAAAAAAAAAAAAATTAATCAAGTTAATAATTATGTAGGATAGGCAATAGTGTGTGT